CCGAGCGCGGCCTGCGGACCTATCCGGCCGGCGAGGGCGGGAGTGGGGAGGAGGGGACGGGTGTTGCACTCGGGGCCGCAGCTCCCCAGAGGGTATGGTCCCCCTGGCGATCTGGAGGGAGGAAATCGGAGCACTTGTGTGTGTTGGCGAATGGACAAGGCTTTCCTTGTCATTCGGAGGCTCAGCGTTTTTTTCCTTTTTTTTTTGGTCGCAGACCGGGAGAAAGGATGGGAACTGCTGTGGAGTGTCTGTTTCGCTTTTCAGAGGGCTCGTGACCCAGGCGGTTGGCTTGGGGCCTTCTGGCCATCCGTATATACAGAGGCTTCGGTCCCTTTTTTCCTCGGGAGGGAGGGACTAAGCTGAGCATCTCCCTATCCTTTTTTCACCGGCATCTTGGACAGGGTGCCCCTCTCGGGTACCCGAGTGGCCAGGGGTGAAGAATCGTGGCATTGTAGTCACAAGATCAACATTATGTAACTGCAGGCTCTCTCATGGAGAGTAAGGTGGCATTTTATTGTGACAAAGTTGTTCTGTTGGACTTTGGGGATGAGGTAGTGGAGCAGGTGAGCTGCTGGCAAAATGGTGCCAGTTTCATACTTTGACTTCGTTGTCTGCAGCCTCCACCCCCACCCATGGATTTGTAAACAGTGCCCCCTCCTGAGTGGTAATCTGGAATAGGCCACCAGGTGACACTGTATTTCTTCATTTATTAAAAAAACCTTATGATAACATTTTCTCTTGTGCTGTTGTCATATCTTCTCTCAGAGCCCATTGAGGTTGCCCCATTTATGTCATTTCAGCTCTTTTTTTTTTTCTTAAATGAAGACGATTCTTTGCCCAAGGTCACATAGCTAGTCAGGCCTTGGACAGGGTTCACTTGACCTTTTCTCAGCACCAGATGGTGCTCAGAGACTCCCTCAGGGTCAGACTTTTCCTCTCTCTGGTATGGGGTATAGGATGCTTATCCCCTGACCCTTTAACAATGACAGCTGAAGTGGAACCAGCCCTGCTTAATTTAACGGTATCTGGTGAAGGTGCCTTAGATTCAGCCAGGCAAGGGCTCAAGGGCTTTGGGGCATGGATACATCTGTACATCTGATCCAGACTGAAGTAATGGTCTTGACTTCTGCTTTTCCTTTTAGCCTATCCAGCCTTAGTGTGTACTTAAGAGATCAGAATGGGTTGGAATGATACCAGAGATCTATCTTGGAGCAGACAGCACCTACATAAGAGACATCTCCTTGTATAGCAGGCCCAGACTGATAGCCTCTTTTGTCCATTGGGCCAGGCCATATTCACAGTGGTGGTTTGGGGAGGTGAGATGAGGGGATTGTTACTGCTCTGTGGTGTGAAATGTGGTTGAGAACAGAGGGCAGGGTTTTGCAGCTCATCCCCTCTAAACTGCTGCAAAGTGCCTCACCTACTATAGACTGCCAGGCAGAGAGGGCTTCCTCTTGTCTCAGAAACAGTCTGTGTAGGTGCTGTCTTGGTGCTATGATTCTACAGGGTGAATGCTGAGGCCCAGGTGACAGGAATATGAAACAGGCCTGTAAAATAATAAATAACAGGTCTTCACCTTTCTCAGGTGCTGTTTTTTGGAGCCCTCTTTATCCAGGTTTTTCCTAAGCCTGTGTTTTTTTTAAGCCTATGTTGTTCTTTAGAGAAAAGAAGGCCTCAGATTCCTGTAAAGAAAACAAGCTATTCTTCCCTAACATAATCTTTTGACTTTATCTTATAGGTTGGTACTTTTTGAATAAGTAAATTTTACATGAGCTAAAAATCCAGTTCGTTGGAGTTGGGTCCAAATCTAGAGCTTTCAAAAATTATGTTGAGTTAAAGGTTGAACATTGAATTGAGGAGACCTGGAAGTAGAGGGAAGGATGAGATGGTGTGCATGGCATGTGTGAATGGTTGGCTGAGGCTAAGGCTGCCCCCTAGCTTCTCTACCTTTTAGGGGCATGGCAGCCCTGGGCACTTAAGAGAAGGCTATTGCCTCTGCCCTTTTTTGTGTGTGGAAAGAGACTGCCAACTTTTTTCCTGTTGAGGGTCAGGCAGTAAATATTTTAGGTTTCAGGAACCATGCAGTCTCATAAGTACTCAACTCTGCCACTGTAGCTTGTTCCTACAGAATCTGAAAGTATGGTAGCTGAATCTAGCCAATGGACAGACAGCCCCTTGTATAGAGGCTTTGTGTTTGCAGGTGCTGTCATATAACATTAGGTTAATTCTTATAACAGCCACTAATAGGTGACCTCACTGTTAAAATGGGGGTAATTGATACAGGGACCAAATGACTTGTCCATGATGACACGACAGTGTTCGCAGGGCTAGAAGTTAGGGCTACTGATTTCTAGCTAGTCCATCTTCTTTCTATTGTGATACTAGTGACGTAATAGTTATTAAGTCAAGGGCTTATGCTGTTAAGGTGTTAAAGCTGCCTGATTTATCTTTAGAATAACCCTACAGTCCCCATTATACAGATGAGGACTTAACACAAAGGTTAACCTACCTCCCAAAGATGCAGGTAGGTGATGTATTGTACTATCATTTTTACTATCAGTGCTGTTTAGAATGTTGGAGATAGATAGGTTTCAGAGTTGGAATAGTGTCATTTTACATGTGATAAAAATGATGGCTTATGTCTTTTTTTTCTACTTGGCCTGTATTTTCAAGGAGTTAGAGCCATGTTTCTGCTAAAAGCTTAGGAGCTACCTCTCCTGCTGGTTTTATGTCTGTGTGTTCTATACTTACACCTTCAGTACTCCCTTCTCCCACTGAGGCCTCCCATCCAGCAGCTTGTGTTCATTGGCCAGAGTGTGGAGTTGTCAGCCTCACCTCTCTGTTTCTTCTGCAGTGTCACGATGTCTGACAGGAAGGCAGTGATCAAGAATGCAGACATGTCTGAGGACATGCAACAGGATGCTGTTGACTGCGCCACGCAGGCTATGGAGAAATACAATATAGAGAAGGACATTGCTGCCTATATCAAGAAGGTATGCCAGGATAGCTGTGGCTGGTGGCTGAGGGTGGGAGTTGGCAGCTGTGTTGTACTCCAGGGAGGACTGGAACCAGGGACATAAAGTGGGCATATTCCATGCACACAAAACCTAGGAGCTTGCAAAGCCGACAAATTAGGGAATAATGCTGAATTTCCAAAGCATTTATTTTAGGAGTTCTTAATGGAATCTCTGATCAGGTTAGGTTTATTTACATTTACAGATACTTATGACTATAAGACATTGTGGAAAAATGAGACTGAGCGGAGAAGCTTTAGAATTACTGGCCTGATTCAAAACTGCCCGAGAATAATTGAATAAATAATATAAGATCATGTACAGACTTTCAGGAAACTACATCATTTAAAGTTGGGTATCCTTGCTGGGTGTGGTTAAGTAACTAAGCTAAGTAACTGAGCTATGCACATGCTTATAATCGTAGGACTTGGGAGGCTGAGGCAGTTCAAGGCCAGCCTGAACTACATAACAAGTCCCCGTCTCAAAAAATTAGACAAAAATTACAATAACCCTCATGTAACTGTATCATCCCCTTTTCCCTACATCGTTAAGGAAAAAATGAGCGTGAAGAAAGACCCATCACTTGGTTTCTTCGAAATTGGATCCAGGATCCCCTTTAGATACCCAAATTCAGATTCTTACATACTTCCTATGAAATGGTGCATATAATCCTGGATTACTTTTAACTAAAATAATGTAACATATCTAAATAGTCATACAGTATTTAAGGAATAATGACAAGGGGAGAAAATCTGTACACAATGAGAACAGATATAAATTTCCCTGAATGTTTATAATCCATGGTTGGCTGAATCCATAGATATGGAACCCACAGATACAGTGGGCTGATTGTATAGTTAAGTGGGTGATCAGTATGGGGGTGGTAGATTTGGTCTCTGAAAAGTCTCCAAGTGAATGAGTGAGTAGATGTGATTAACACTGTGGTGAGGCAGCTGAACCAGAAATAGGTGAACTGAGTCTCTTGGTTCCCAGACAGGACCTGTGTGTCCACTTGAGACATAGTCCCAATATTTGAAAGTCTCAGTTCTGGCATCCTAAGAAGGAAATGTGAGAGTAGAAGCAGTTTTTACAGAATTTTGTTTTCCTGCTCAGATGGATAGGATAAGAGGAAACCCTGGTATCTTGAGAAAAACTGTATGTGGACCTGGGGGTTGGGGTGGGGGAGTGCAGAGCTAGCTGTGCCTGCTGCCTCCTTGCTATGTGATGGCATGGCCATCCTGTCCAAGGACAGAATGCAGAATTATAGGCTCTCAGAGCCAGAAAAATCTAAAGATTATTTGGTCCAGCTTTCTTGTTTCGCTGATAGGGAAAAAAGAGACCCAAGGACTGACTTTGGCCCTCTTGCATTACACAATCTTTTTAAAAAAAATTAATTAATTAATTAATTTATTGGGTACCGGGGATCGAACTTGGGACCTTGTGCCTGCGAGGCAGGTAGTGGAACCACTGAGCTAAATCCCCAGCCCTGCGTTACACAGTCTTGGTCTGGAATTGCAGTTGGGTTTGGTTTTCTTTTTCCCTAGTACCTGTTGGAGTTGTATAGAATGGGGGTTGTGAGGTGACCAGACAAGTTGTATGTTGCGCACCTTGTGGGCCAGAGCAATCCCCAAGGTTGGCAGCATTGATGGGCTCCTGGTGGAGGGTTGCTGCCCTTTCACACCTATGGCAGGGAGATGCATCAAGAACTGAGTCAGTGGGTGGAGCCACAGGGCCATAGGGAGCTACCTGTCTGATTAGCTCAAGAGATTTCTTGGGCAGTTTTGTGCCTCTGATAGGAATGAGGGCATTGCCTTGCTGTCATGGCTGAGGTCCTTACTCTGCTGCATGTAGCCCACATAGGGTGCACAGAATTGCTTTTAGTATTTTTTGTTTGTTTTGTTTTTTGGTACTGGGGATTAAACTCAGGACCTTGCCGCATGTAAGGCAGGTGCTGGAACCACTGGGCTAAATCCCCAGCACTTTTTAAAAAAAATTATATTTAATATTGTAAGTGATTCATTTACTTTTAAAATATAGAAATAACCATTAAATGTATAGCAGGAACGCATTTTACATGAATAAGATAGAGATGATATTACAGACATGTTTGTAACTTTGTGTATGTTTTGTAGTATTTTTTAATACAGTTACTTGAGATAGCAACACAGCAAAGAGATTCTGACACCAGAAAGCACAGACCTAGATCTAGAAGTCTAGACTTATAGTTCTGAGGCCTGAGTAGTGTTGAGTTTCTAGTACTGATGTTTAGGCCTCATTTCCTCTAGTATCTCAGTTTTTGGCCTTTGAAAATTCTGGTTTAGTAATGGGTGAGGCAGTGGGTAGCCAGTCCCCAAGCTGCCTGCTAGAATGGCCCTTCATTCCCCTGGCCTCTCTGATCACCTTGTTGGAAGAATCCCAGGATGGGCTAGTGGTGGTGTGAAGGATAGGATAGCTAGAGGGAGAGAGGTGATCAGGGTGTAGCTTACTAGAGGCTTGGCAGGGAGGAATAATGAGGCCTGTGTGGTATTCCATTATTGATGAGGGGAGCAGTGTCCTGGCCAACTTTAGAACCTGAGTCCCTGAGAGGTTCAGGATCTGAGGCGCTGGGGTGGGGTGGTAACTAAACGTGTGAGTGCTGGAATTGTAGGGAGAGACTCCCATTCTTGCTTCTCATCTTCCAGCTACCCTAATCACCTTTCTTCTCTCCCTTTTTAGGAATTTGACAAGAAATATAATCCTACCTGGCATTGTATCGTGGGCCGAAATTTTGGCAGCTACGTCACACACGAGACAAAGCACTTCATCTATTTTTACTTGGGTCAAGTTGCAATCCTCCTCTTCAAGTCGGGCTAGGTGGCTGTGGTGAAGGTGTCAGTGGCGGCGGCAGCGATGGCGAGCAGGCGGCGTTGCCGGGACTGTTTTGCATTGGGGCCAGCAGCAGGCTGTCCTCTCCAATGGCTGTGCTACTGCATGGACTGTATACTCGATTTCATGTGTGCGTCTCAGTAAACAAAACCAAACTTCTTTCTGTTTAGTTGTCTGGGGAAGAAGGCTGCTTTACGTTTATTTTTCAAGACTTAAAAAAAAATTTTTTTTGGGTTGTATTGCACTAGGAAGTTTCTCCCACCCTTCCTTTTTCTCTTTCTCTTCTCTCTCTTTACAAAATAGCCCTCAACAAAGCCCAAAAGACTAGAAGGGCTGAGGAAAAGAGATAGGACTCTGGAGGTGGATCTAGAACTGTGCAGCTGCCTCTTCCCGGTGGTAGATGCTGCTTTGGGAGGGCAGGGAGGCCTTGAGGGGACAGTGTTAGAAATGGCAAGGAGAGAAGGATAGAAAGGAGGGTGGGGGGACTGATCTAGTACCAGGGAGAATATTCCATTGAACTGTGATTTTATGGCTGGGGGCAGAGGGTGGGTGGGGTGGGTTCTCAAGGGGCCCTGCGATGTGTCTGGTTGTGTGGGAGTGGGGAGCAGAATTGTCTTGTTGTGTTTGTCAGGAGTTCTAAGTAAGGGCTGTGTCTTTGTGGATTACCTTCTTTTATGCTTCCTGCCAGAGATCATATTAGGAGGAGGATATTGAGGGTAGAATTAGCTTGACTTCTGGTTTTTCTTTACATTCTTCTCTCCTGTCTGCTCCCTGCTTAGCCCTTGGTTTTCTCATTCCTCTGAAGTTCTCTTAGAACAGCCCCTGTTGTTAGTTGGCTGGCAAGGGAATTTCTGGTGACTGTAGTTCCTTAGGTCTTAGCAATCAAACCAAATCAATGTCTCCCTCGATTCTCCTTTGTGTTTGTTTGTTTGTGTGTGTGTGTGTGTGTGTGTGTGTGGGTGTGTGTGTGTGTGTGGGTGTGTGTGTGTGTGTGGGTTTGGGGGAGGGGGGAGGGGGCAAACAGGTGGAATCTCTAGGGTTTATGGGAAGTAGGAAGCACAGTTAGTTCTAAGTGGGCCTTTATGTTAAACACCTCTGGGGGTGTCTATTGGGGTGAAGACAAGTGTCACTGCCTCCTCAGTCATTTAGCTCAGACACTATTTGCCCTCTGGCTGTTTGCTCCCTGAGAAGGCTTTAGGAGGACCACAACAGGACATGGCCATGCTGCTGTCTGTCCTGAAGCTGGGTCCCAGTGGAGGGAAGTGATTTTGGATGGTTGCAGCCTCTGGTGGGAGGTGGGGATGGAAATAATAAAGGGCCAAGAGGGGCTTGGAGGTCAGTTTATAGTGATGAAGTCCCAGATATCAGGAGATGGAGTAAAGCTGCGAGCAAGATAAGATTCCACGGAGGGATGCAGGGAAAGTCTTGTCTGTTGATGACAGGAATGGGGTGGGGGGGGGGTGGTCATTGCTGATTGAGCTGCTGATTCTTATGACACG